AAAAAAGACCTGCCGGTATAACTTCAAGTAACAAAAGTTGCACTTGTGACTCTCAAAAAAATTTCTTGAGTTGGACAAGTTACTAAGTTCTTTAAACTAACATTTCAATTATTTTGTGTGTTAAGTGCAAATTTAGGCAAAGCTGTTCACCTTAGTATCAGTAAAAAGTTCTTCAGTCTTTGGTGGCAAAAAATGAAATGCATTTACCTCGGTTAATTCAGGGGGAGTGATATCGACTACGAAACCACTAGACCAACCACGTGTTGTCATCCCAGCGCCATTTGCGGCCTCAACAGTGACGTAATACCGCACGTCATGGGTTAGTAGCAAGTTTTCTGCCTTCCCCGATGTTATCCTTCCTACAGCCGTAAAATTCATAGCGTCCGTGTCATCAGGAGTGGTTCCTAGGCCCCAGCGATATTCCACGATTCCACTTTCTAGGTCTTCAAAGGGATTCCATACTGCTTCTACCACAGATGTTGACGACTGATAATCAACGTCAGCTAGCAGAGATGATCCATCCTGAACCACACCAGCATTAGGTGGACTGATATCTACAATGACACCATCAGAGGAAGAAGTGCTACTGAAGCCATCACCATTGGAGCACGTGATTTCACTGATGTAGCGAGCGCCTGGGGCAAGACTAAGATTTGCTTGAGTGAGGTTCCCTTCGCGTTCCACGGCTGTTGTCAACACAACAGAATCATTTCCAAATACGGTTCTGTCATGTGAAGCTGACTGCTCGATCAGTGCCAATGAACAGGAAGCAACCCCGGACTCTTCATCCTCAATTCCTCCCCAATGGATAGACAAGAAATTCGTAGAATTCACAAAATCGATGTCATGGCCAGCGCCATCATTCACACTACCTGTAGATGGGGGTGTGGTGTCAAAAACTAGCTCCTTTGATGACATGACTGTTTTCAGACCAGCCCCATTTACAACAATAACCGTAACGAAATATTCCGCCCGTGGATCAGGTCTGAAAGGGCCAATAGTTCCAGAGGTAGAGGCACTTGCCAACACAAAGCCACTCCTACAAGTGCGAGGAGTTGTTCCAAGGCAATATCCATTGCTGCTTACGCCACTTTCGTCGTCTTTAACGCCATTCCAGGAGACACTTATTTCAATAGTTTGCATACCTTGATCGACCACTCTATGTGACACCAAAAATTCTGCCTTCACTGGTGGGCTAGGATCTACTATGAATCCATCCGAATGTTGTGTGGAACTTAGACTACATAAGGTCTTAGCTTTAATGGTTACGTAATACATTTTACCAGCCTCTAAAACATCAAGATCTGGAATATTTGGGGCCAAGTCCTTTTTAACAGTCCTCGTCAGGCCAACACTTGTGAAGTGAAGAACATCTTCTTTGCCTGTAACCGTCCCGATAGCCATCTCATAGTCGACAACAGGATCCTTGCTATCCGCATAAAAAGCATCCCAGTTGGCCCCAACTGTTTTGGTATTGGTTAGATAAACAAGATCTATCTCTGGTACCGCGCCATCTCGAACAGGAGCTGGAATAGGCCAAACAGATTCTACCTGGAAACCATTAGACCGCACAGTAGCTTGCAACCCTGCTTTATTCAAGCAACTCAACACATTATGGTAAGTCACGTTTCTAATGAGCTGCAGATTTCTGTATGTTTGGTTGTCTGAAAAAACCTTTCTCTTCTCATAAATAGAAACCTTGGTTATCTTCTTTTCAAACAAAGCGATTCCATCGGCGTTTTCAATGGTCCACCTGCATGAACGAACGCCACTTTCGCCATCCTCTACACCAAACCAAGACATAGCAACATTCCAATCCTCCAACACAACATTGTAGTCACATCCAGTTACGTGACTTCCATCAATAACCTCTCCCATTACTGGAGGGCTGGCATCCAGCAGCATTCCATCAGAGGTAAGTGTTCGAGACAGACCAGCGCCATTAGTCACACGCACTGTTACGAATACCCTCTCTTCCTCGTGTGTGATACATTTTGGGCACATAAAGGATTTGTTGGTTCCAATGTTTGTCATTGGCTTAATCTGACAGCCTCGAGGTTTAGTCCCCAAGCAATACTCGCTCTGAATGATGCCACTTTCGGGATCTTTAATCGTTTCCCAATGTGCCGATAATCCCTCACCAGGGGAGAAATAATCAGCATCTTTGTCACCTGAACCGTCTTGGATATCATCGTTCACAGCAAGAGGCGAAGTCGTGTCTATCATGAGACCAAGTGACGAAATTTTGGCGCTTAATCCAGCCAGGTTTGTTGCTTTAACTGTGATGAAGTACGTAGCCCCATGGAAAAGACCGAGGTCCATCTTGGTTATTCGAGTGGCCAAGTCTACGTCTTCAAAACTTACCACGTCGTCTTGGTAAGGCTTGGTGCCAATGGAAAAATAATACTTCTCTATGCCACTTTCAAGGTCTATAAATGAAGGCCATGATACAGTAACTGAACTTGTATCTGACTGGTATTGGAAAGAGTGATCACGTGACACACCTGCTATAATAGGACCAGTCTCGATGGGGGGGGTGTTATCGATAACAAATACTAAAGACGATGACGATACATGGTCTGCATTGTTCATGCATTCTACGCTGGCATTGTATTCGCCATGAGTTAAGTTAATGTTGCCAGGCAATGTCATATTGCCTGATGACGTATTTCTCATCGTAGAGAAGACAATATTTCCAGTTTGGTCAAGGACTGAAATATTGCATCTTCGTACTCCACTTTCTTGATCTTCGAATTCTTTCCACAAAATAGTCACATCGTTGTTACTGATAAAGGTCTTCTCACCATTCCTGCTTGATGGTTGCCCAACATAAACGTTTCCTGGAATTGGTGGGGTGCTGTCAAAGACAAGTGCATCAGAGCATGCTTGTGACACGAGACCAGCTTTGTTCCTGGAAATCACAGTGACGTAATATTTCACTCCTGATCTGAAGACCAAGTCTGTCATTGTTGTGTTAGCATAATTAACTTGGCCGATGTTAACGAGTGATTGAACTTGAGTGCCACATTTGCTTGTACCTATGGCCCACTTGTAGTACCAAACTTCACTCTCAGGTTCGGAGAATCTTTTCCAGTAAACTGCAATACTTGATGCAGTAGCGGAGTAGAAAACATCCTCTTGCTCGCTGTATTTCCAATCACTTTGGAACCCAAATCCAGGACGGATTGTGTTTGGTATTGGTGGAGTTCCATCCGCTATAACGCCATCTGAAACGAGTTCCCTGACTGATCCAGCCTGGTTTGTCACTTTCAAATGCACATAGTACTTTGTCCCACTTACTAAACGGAGAACTCTTTGACTTCTGACATGTGTTGAAAGACCAGCGTCAGTGTACCCTTGAATACTGGTTTTCTCATGCTCACTTGTTCCAATACTCCAATCGAATTTCTCAACACCACTATCTAAGTCCCATATTCCTTCCCAGTTTGCAGCCATGCTTGACAGGGAAGACTGGTACTTTCTATCTGGTTCGATAATCCCATCATGCACCACACCATGACTTGGGAGAGTCAGGTCAATGAGAACACCATCAGAACTTTTGCATTTTCGAAGTTCGGCATTGTTCACAGCACAGACTATGAAGTAATACACATCATCAGACAATAATAGGGCACTCACAGTAACTGAAGTGTTCAGAAAAGCGCTTTGAAATGGAGAGACATTTGGTGTACCACCACGACTTCGGCTCACTCCATATTCATAATACTGGATTCCAGACTCGGGGTCCACGAAACCATCCCATGCTGCTGACAGTGCTGTGGTATTGGCTTGATAATCGAGATCAATACCTTTGTTTCCATCACGCACTTGAGCCAGGTGTACATTCGGAAATGTCACGTCCACGACGAAGCCATCCGAAGACACTTCAGAACTAATCAGCCCAGCCTTGTTTTCAGCCTTGATCTTAATGCAGTAACGCTGGCCGTTAACCAGTGTAACGTTTGCTAACATAAACGAAGTTGCTTTTGGAGGATCAAGTCGAACGAATCTATTTCCGGTTACATGATAGTTTCCGTTTATGCAGCTTCCTACAGCATAATAGTACTGCTTAACTTCAATGTGTGGCTCCGGGAACTTGGTCCAAGAACCATAAACTTCTTTGACGTTTGCCTGATAGTCGATGTCTACTTCGGACATTGGTCCATCAAATACGTTTCCTGGTGAAGGAGGAGTGGAATCAGGTATAACGAGGACTGAATAAGCGTCTTTCCACAATTTAGCACCATTGTAGGCTCTTATAATGATGTGGTAACCTTTGCCTTGAGTTAGCGCGAGATTACTGAATGTCGCGGATGTTGGCAGATTAGAACCTTGTACAGCACTGAAGTCAGAGTTTGATGGAGACGTGTCTGAAGGGATGATAGCCCAGTCATATCGTACAAGTCCGCTGTGTGCATCGGAGAAACCAACCCACTGCACCGTTACTGACGATACACTTGGTATGTAGACACAAGGTGTTCCATTTATGAAGTCGCTTTCTCCTGTTACTATAACTTTTCCTGTAAACACTGGGTGGGTCGTATCCACGGTAATGCCGTCAGTGGTGACGTCAGTGCTTAGACCAACTGCATCAACCGCTCTAACAGTGACAAAATACTTTGTGCCATTCTTCAAAGTCAACCCGTTATGTGTAATGTTCGTTGCATTTCCCGCTGATGTCCAAAGAACAATTATATTTCCACCGTTGTCTGATATCTTGTACTTGTATTCTACGATTCCACTTCCTTTGTTCCCGTCTGTGAATCCATTCCAGTTCGTTGCTATCATGGTGTCTTCTGATTGGAAGTCTACATCACTGAAATGTCCATCGTTAACGGAGCCAGCTTGTGGAGCATCATGATCTATTAGCACACAGTCTGAACTTACTTGATTGTAGAGTCCAGCTTCGTTATAACCTCTGACGACTGCGCAGTAGCTTTCTTTAGAAACTAGGTTTAGGTTAGTTACTGTAGGAGAGCGGTTTAGTGCTGTGTTCTTAAATGAAGTAATGAGTCCGGCACCTTGCCGCTGTACCGCCCAAGTGTATCGTGAAATGGGAGAATGTGCATCAGTGAAACGGTCCCAGTTTGCACTGAACGTACTGGTCCATTTGGCATATTTCACGTCTGCGCCAAGTTGATTCCCATCGTATATCTTGCAAGCTACTGGTGGTGAGGTATCAATGACAACTCCATCACTTAAGAGGTCAGAAAACAGGCCCGCTTTTGTGAAAGCTCGAACAACAAATTTCACTTCTGAACCATCTGCCAAGTTGCTGAATTTTTTCCTTGCGTTAGAGCTTAAATTTACGTTGGTAAAAGGCATTAACTCGCTGGTATTATTGCTTTTAAATGACTTGAGAATCACCTTCCACTCGTACTTTCCAACCCCATGTCTTGTTTTCACTCCACCCCAGTTCACCTGCAACAACGTGGAGGCTTGGTAACTCAGGTCGGATCCAGGCCCATCACGTATCCACCCACCTTGTGGCTTTGACGTATCCACGATTATTATACCGCTACAAACGAGTTGATGTATTTTGTCTCTCAGGTCAGACGCTTTTAGGGAGACTTTGTAGGTTGTATTATCCTGAAGCTTTAGCCCAGTTATGGTCTGGTATACATTGGTGTTTGGCAGAGTACCACTGACCGGTGAATTAAAAGAGCAAGGAGAACTTCCTTGCAGAATGGACCATCTTAGATTAATTTGGCCACATGATACTGAAAATCCAGATATCTTTAAAAATAATCTGCTTGAGATATACTGGTAGGTGCTAGGCGACTTGAACTTGGAGTCCATCATTTGCAAGTTGCCAGTCTTCAAAACAATACTATCTGTCACTGCTCCAGGGCAAGTTCCAAGAATACCATTGCACCTTACATGTAATAACACAATTAACACATTGTAAATACACAAGAAATTCATTTCAAGTGAGCAAAAAATATAAACAAACCATGCTTTAGTGTGGGTGCGTTGGAGCTGTGCCCATGCTATGCCTCAGTAGCTGAGTAACTTTGCACGATGGTCTAGGTGATTGAGATGGTGCAATTGCCTTACTTAGCTGCAAAGGAGAGCTGTAAGTATGCTCTCTTGAAAATAATTATAACCTCCGCAAAGTAGAGTGAAAATGGGTCCACGACGATCGCCCTCATGTCTAGATTTTGACGGAATCCGCGTGACGCAAAAATTGATGCACATTACATGTACATGTCAAAAAAGATGTAAATCATTAACCAAATTTTTTGAGTGGCGTGTCATGTCATTTGCAAGGAGTTCCAGTATAATTATGGCGAATGTAAATGACACATGTATAACTACCACAATAAATCCTGCTTCTCTTGGTTTAATTTTCATAATTGATTTTCCTATACCCATTAGAGGCTTTAGAAACTAAGAATACACATTGTTTGTGATTCTTTACCCTGGGTGCAGTGCAATGCTCTTTATTTGGTTTATTTTTCTTAACTCCTACCTCTCTGGCTGATCACAGACGTCAACAGCAGATCGACATATAGTCCCTTTTGGCCTCATAATAAAAGTGCAAGTTCCATCACCAACACACTTAGAAGTCCTGATACAACTTGATGAAGGGAAAGACGATTGACAAGAATATCCCACCCCTGAACATCTGAAACAGACAACAGATAAATTTAACTTTTAGCTTTACAAACTGAAAACATGAAGTGAACAGAGTATCAATAAAAGCAGTGATCAATGATTAACTCAAATTCATATGAATCGTTGAGAAATATGCATGTATTCACAATTCGTTCAGGTCTTCAACTATTACTGATTATTCTCAAAGATTCTCTTCTAGGATCTTGGAATATTGTAAAGGTTTTTGCAAGGATCTACAATCACTGTCATTAGTCGTTGGTACACACGTCTTCTTTCCTTCACCCAAAGCTGGACAACGCAATGTACCTGAACTCCTTGTTCAATGCATTTCAGTTTCTTAACAGCACTAAAAGGTGGGAGTCAGAGGAAGGACAATTTAACGGCCACTGTACTAACTATGTGTCACTGATTGTGCACCATCCTAGAGAAAATTGATTTTGTTCAAGATCCATAACAGATTGATTTAATTGGGGATACAACAGGTACCTCCAAATATCCACCCCAATTTCCCCTCAGAGATAGCAGTTATACTGTACTCTGCACTATTAGACAACAAATGTATAAGTAATCCATCAAAACATATTTTAAATGTATGCATACATACATGAATTATAGATAAAAGATATGTAACTTCAAGAGACAATTTGATTAACTATGAACACTGCTGAGGATTATCATTGCCATGACCGTGCACTCAATAAATTGGAAAACACAAGGCAGTGGCATATACCTGCCAGCTTTGCAGGTGTCCTGTTTAGTGCATTTGTTTGTATCGTCACATGGGACTGTGGGACGATTGGACCAGGCACTGTTAGCACGGGCTGTTGCATCATACAAGTCGCACCATTGACACTTGTTTGAAGGATTTAGGGTCTGATGACCATAGTCCTGACCTGTAAACGAAAAACTGAATTTACAAAAAACATTCATTTTTGTATACCGATATAATGGTGTGACATGGTAATTACATCTGCATACAGTGTGTGTATACATGTGTGTATTTTGTACGACAGGTTAATTAAGAAGCTGTTGATGGGATATAACAACAGTAACACTTTAACACAGTGTAGTTAGTTTGTATAGTGTGATCGTCCGGGTGAGGATAGTTCTGAAAAGAACTGTTGTTGGGGACTGACGCTTTGACAACCTGAGCGGAAGTCATCTTCAGAGTCAAGTGAATAGTGTTTGTCAGTCAATGATGTTATAAGTCTGGTCCGTTGAAAGTGATTGGTCAGTTTAGATAAGATGGCTGAAAGACTCGTGTAAAGTAAACAGACCAAAAACCGACAAACTTAACTAACAATAGACGGATTGAAACCGACCAATGACTGATGACAAACTTTACATGAGTCATTCTGCCAATACCATCACGGCTAAACTGACCAATCACTTTTAAAGGACAAGACTTATAACATCATCGACTGACAAACATTATTCACTTGACTCTGAAGATGACTTCCGCTCAGGTTGTCGAAATGTCAGTCCCCGACAACAGTTCTTTTCAGAACTACCCGTAACCGGACGATCACACTAGACGAACTACGGGGGTTCAAACCATTAACTATGATACAATGTAGTTACCTGCTATCTTGCACATGCATTTGTTGTTCAGCAATCCAAATCCGGTTTTCAGACTGCAGCTGTTGCCATTACAGTACTGACACACAGAGTTACAAGTGAAAGGAGTGGCAGTACACTGGCCATTGCGACAGGTGTCTTTACGTGTGCACTTATCATTGTCATCACAAGCAACACCGTCACGATTTGACCATGTACTGATGCTGTTTCCTGGATCACACCACTACAGTAAAAAAAGAAACATTTTGACCACTGGAAAACCATAATTTGCTCACAGTGATGTACTTTTGCTGGTTAAGCTACTTAATGCAATGTTAACAATAGTCACCAAAAGCATCTTATTATTATATCGACCTCAACAGTAAAGTTGTGGGCATTGCAACCTTTGACCAACAACTGATGATACATTTTTCCTTTCAAACATTGCAAACTTACTAACACAGGTCAAGGGAGAAGCTATCTGTCCGCTGGGTCAGTTTTTAAGTTATTACACGTATATACACCTACATGTACATGTAATATGCTTTGCATAATAATATTGACCAATGCAAAATATAAATGGCATTCAGTAGCAAACAGCCATTTTTCCTTTCGCATTTTCATCATGTCAAGATCAACAGAAATTGATGGCAATCGATAGCAATCTAAATACTTATGGAAATTTCTCTTGTGACTATTAATTAACTTGTACCTATCAATTCAACTATATTTTTTTATTAACTAACAGCTATAAATAGATATTGATTGATCAATCAATTTCTGAAGTCAATTTTCCTTGATTGGTCAGGCCAAGACATAATCTTACAAAAAATGCAATGTGTATACAGATGTTTATATCTGTGTATGTCTAGATGCCTGTATTAAACAAAATTTCACCTTGGTGTAATTATTATACCTGGGGTGAAAGTAGTGCATCTCCAAAGTAAAATGTAAACAAACTATAAATACAAAGCAATGTCAATCTTTTTTTTTTTTTTTTTCACTTCACTCTCTCATCTTCCTTTTAGTGCTCTTCTCCCTTTTAGGATCGTTTGTAGTGATTGAAGAGATTGGAATCATAAAATCCAAGCGAATACATGTGGCTCACTTAGTGCAAATGAACACACTTTTCCTTAGCCAGGTTTTCATACACAAATGTACATGCAGTCATACATGTATGTATACATGATATACATACATGAAAGAGATAACTACATAGAGAGCCCAATTTTTATTAATTTTTTTTTTTATAAAGGAATGCTTGGTATTAAATATCAATACTGCACATTTCCGGCCTGTGACTGTCAAATAGAACAATTACCTGGCATGGATTTCCAGGTTTATACTGATATTTAGCAAAGCATGTTCTTTGACCACCATGCTGTATAATGCAGTATCCAGATTGGATTGGACAGCCACTGCCATCATGTCTTTCACATGAAAGACAGTTATAGGGTGTTCCTACACATGCTCCATTCAAACATCGATCACTTTTGGTCCTCAAGTTGTTGTCACTGCATTGTAGGTTGTTGTTGTTAGTCCACTGCTGTTTGTAATTGCTGTCACATTGCTGAAAGTAAAAATTATTTACATTTGAAACAGTAAACTAAATCCCGTACTGTACACTGGAAGAGTAATTTTTAAATGTTTTAAAATATATGACTACAAAAATATGATTATTTATCCAAGATGACTGTCAAGCTATAAAAGCTCTAGTTCAACTCTAGGTCTCATTCGCTACATGTAATTGTACTGCATTCATGGAGGTCCTCTTTAGAGTTTTAAAATTTTCATTTCAACTTTCCCTCCATTCAGAGTTTGGTTGTTATTTTTAATAAACTCTTGCTCGCAGTGACTCGATCCCCAAGCTTTGTTCTATGTGTTCACATTAGTGAAGCTACATGTAAGTTATGCTTGTTGTATGCCTATATATCCAGCATGTGCCAGCTGTGTCAGCTTGTAGTGCTGGGAAGATAACTAGCTAGGCTTGGGCAAGTCACAATTACCTAATTACACTCTGGCACAATGCTGGCTAGAGCTTTTGGCTCATAGTGTTATTTAGAGTTAGGCCTCTACATACGTCTCGTAGATTCTAGATTTCAGATTTAAACAGATCTTAAGGAATGACAAACACTGCCACTAAAACAAATCACTTGGTGAGTCACCTCAACAGGTTCAGTGACAATTAAACTCTTTGCAGGATCAAAAACAGCAATCTTATGGCACGTACTCTACTAAACTCTGCTGAAGTCAATTCAACATTGAATTTCCACATGACTTCAGTATTCAGAACTCACTTGAGCCTGCTTAAATTATCTAGCAGTTCCATGCCTATCCACTTTATAAATGCTTTAAAGTACAAAAACGTTATGTGTTGACCTCTTGATCACTTGGCAGTCAAGATGTCTAAGGTTTGTTTCCTAAAATTGTTGAGAATTTTTTTCCTTTATATTTACCTGTGCTTCTAATCATTAAGAAATTGTCTTTAAAAATTGTTCATAATAATTGACAGGATACCCACTCCACTGTCAAGCTGTACTAAAAATTTGTCTTAACCCAGTCATAATCCTGGTTGGAGGAAAGCATTGTGGGAGCAAATAAATTATGCCCAGAAACACAATACAACGACCCCAGCTGGAGCCTTAGAATTCAGACCTCTAAAAATAATCAGAGTTCGCTGATGTATTTACTAGTATACTATGTATTATAAACAATAAGTTACTAATAATTACAAGGACTTACATGTAAATCGTATTGCTTTTTATTATATAAACACCAGAGAAAGACCAGGATTTTTCCTTTCACTAAAAAATCATATCTTCATTGCACGCAGTGAAGATACTATTTTTATCCTTCACACTGTCAAGATATCTTTCCTTTTTGATAACATTTTTCTTTTGTCCCTTTAACTACACTTAAATTTGTTGATGTATGATTGAAACATCTTCGGATCTTCTTCGGTCGTCTTCGGCAATCTTTGGCAATCTTCAGCAATCTTTGGAAAATATTCAGAAATATTTGGAAAATGTTCGGAAGCATTTGTGTGGCCTTCGGAACAATTTTGGAAAATCTTCGGAAATCTTTAGAAAGTGGTCAGAAATCTTCAGAAAATCGTCAAAAATAGAATATTACATGCCTGCTTGTGGATACGAATTTTATCTTCTCGTGTTCAACTCGATATCTCACTCGTTTGCTGCACTCACTCATGAGATATTGAGCTGAACACTCAAAGATAAAATTTGTATCCACGTGCGGGTATGTAATACCCTCTATATTATAACAATACAATGCACATGTATGTGCACTGTACCCCTTTTCTTCATAGCAAAAGCTTGAAAGATTTCATCATTACCTGGCATGGATATCCTGGCCTCAGGTTCCCATAACGAAAGCATGTTTTCACCCCTCCCACAATGATTGTACAATATCCCGGTTTAACAAGACATGCATCATTGTAACACTCTTCACATGATAGGCAGGTGAATGGAGTACCAGTGCATCTTCCATTAGAGCAGTGGTCATTTCTGGTGCAGGCTTTACCATCATTGCATGGTAGGGCATTGTCATTTGTCCATGACGTCTTGTTATTGTAGTGGCATTTCTAATATGACAATTCAAAAGATATTGAAATCAATTTCTAATTTCTCAAAATTGTTAATTTTCATGAATTTTATATGACATTATATTAACCGCTCCAGGTGGTGAATATAACGTTTCTGAGCTTTGTTACTAAGCTTGCCACCTTTGCCATCTTGGCAAGTAAACATGGCGGACAGTTGCTGAATGAATTTTTTCATTTATTCGGCTGACATCACTCCAAGTCCAGGATATTTGAAAGGATGGAGAATTTTCAAAATGACTGCTGTCGCCCTTGGACCAACAATCCTTTCAAGAACTCGTATTCAAGGCATTCAAGAGTCGTAAACACAGTGGTTATGTTGATCGCCAGCAGGTCAGACAGATTGACCAAAATTTATTTTCTTCAAACTAAAACTACTCATTCTTAGACAATGATGACAACTGCGAATGAAGTCAACAACGATAAAACAAAGGTACCAGATGAATTTATTTTTCGCAGTGTTTTGTTCGTTTGTTTTACTGCCAAAGTCAGTGAGTGAATTGATTCCCAATCGATGTACATGTAAGCTTATTAAAACTACGGCTGCATATGTATATGCAAATGAACAATTGTGTATCTGTTTTTATATTTTAGTCCATTATTCTCTGTTGTTCAGCTCTCAAATTATACTAAAACAATTATTTGCCCCAGGCTCAGTGAATATTGTTGACAATATTCTCTGAGCCTTCGGCAAACAATTGTTAATTATAAAAATTAAAAGTGTTTTTATAGTGGCCTATGTAACTGAGATACATACTACGCACACTCTGATTGGTCAAGAAAGTTGCCAAACCTATGTTCTATTGTACTGGTAAACAAATTGGTTCCTGATATGGCAACTCTACACAAGAATGAGAACTCAAAACACTGGCAATAACAAATGTAATAAACAGTTTGGTCTTTTCACTGGCTGAGATATTTGATAACACGAATATCTTTTCATATGGAAGAAGTTGGTTGTGATATATAGGTGTGAGGTACGGTTATGTAAGGTAATGTGAGGTAATTCATTATTTACATGTAGAGTAACAAGCTCTGCTTAGCTAAAAAGCTACTTCATAGGTAGCCCACTATTTAAATAATACAAATATACATTTATTTAATTGAAGCAGAAGATCACTCCAAAAAGCTTACTTTCTTTTCTCTCCGCTTATAGAAAGTAAACATTCAGCTTTTCCACCCATCGAAGTTTCAGCCTCTGAAGTGCCTGCTATCCAGAAGAAATTCGTCTTGAAAAAAGCGACCTCGGAGGCCACCATTTTGAAACTGTCTTGGCAGCCAGGCCGTGTTCATGTGACATCATTCCGTCTGACTCGAAATTGGCAGAAAGGAGAAAACCTTGCAACTGACTTGGCATCCTTCACAAGGTCACCAAAATCGATTTTTTTTCAACGCGATTATCCACTTCACTATCTTCAATGCTATCATTTCGGAGTTTAGAACATGTTTAGCTCAAAATAATATGGCTCAAGAGCAGCCATAACCCAGAATGGTAGTTAAAAGGCTCTTCAGAAGCCATGTGGAAAAAAAAATTCTCTCGGATGGAAGGATGTCACGAAAAAGTGGCCTGGCTGCTGAGTACTGTTCAAAATGGCGGCAACAATGTACAAATTTTGGGCTTCTTTGGAGACGAATTTCATAAGGAAAACCTGCACTTTAGAGGCTGAAACTTTGGTGAGTAGCTAAACTTAGTACAAGGTTTTTATTAGGGTTGACAAAAAATATACGGTTTTTGGAGTGACCTTAAGTACAAAAGTAAATACAAACTAGTTAAAATGTAAGTACATAAAATTAAAGTGATAATTGACAATAAAAGATAAGCTTGATCTTTTTTCCATTGCAAAAATGTTTTGCCAATTCTGTTTACACTTGAGTTATGAGAGAAGTTTTAAGCACTCTGAGTGCTTTCTTCTGTGGTCTGTGGAGTATGTATTTCTGACTACAGCTGGACTAGATTGATCAATTTTGGTTGTTAAAAAGTAGGGAAATGATTTCTGACGAGATGACATTAAAGTTCATCAGTAGTGTCAACTTTAATTAAACCCAATGTGGTTTGGTTTCCATGATAAAGCAAGTTTCAAGCAATAGTTTTCATTTGGCAAAAATATACAGAAAAAACGAAATTCCAAGCCTCAACAAAAGTAAATAAATTCTAAATAAATTTCAAAGGCAGTGTTTCTAGACTTCAATTACTGGCACTACAGTTAGCTTAAAATAGTGCTCCGGTTAGCTTAAACATTGCTCAAGTTAGCCTAAATATCACTGACATGACAGTGCTTAGCTCTCAATAATATTGTCTGGATTTTAACCCTTACACAAAACCCTTATTCCTCGTTGACACTTACCAATAATGTCATTAATTGACATAATTCACCATTTCGAGTTTTCAATGAGCCCTCACCCAGTCACTAAGTTCATGATGCCTTTATATTTACTAATAAAATGCTTAACTAGGACTCTTTCATACCTGACAACGATTCCATGGATTGATTGTATTGTATCGATAACAGTTTCCATTTATTCGGCATTGCCTTAATTCACACTTCGCTCCAATTTTATAGTAGCAGGAATAACAGCTGCAGGTATAACTACCAACTGTGTTGTGGCAGTTATGTTGACATGGCCTTGGGTTTGAGTTACACTCATCCACATCTAGAAAAAGAAACCATTCTGAATTTTACTCATTTTCGTCATTAAGTTAGGGAGCCTATATAACAAAATTGTAGTAAGTTAGTGAAGCTGACTTTTTTAGCATAGGCCCTTCAGTTGTTTTGACAAACCTGTGCTAACACTCAAGTTGTCAGCCTCAATAACTCACTACAGCTAATTAACCTACATTATCCTACATAATCAAATCAAAAGTGGGCAATTTACTTAAATACATTTTTGAGGATTACATTCACAATCATTGTAAAGAATTTTGATTCATTTGATAAACAATTCTTAGGCTATCAACACAAACATGCATGTACTGATGGACATCGTATTGCTGATGGGAAAGTGAATCAATAAAAAATTTTGGGATTATGACACCTCTGAGGAAAAGAAATGAACTGTAAAGGCACACCCAAGAAAATGGTTTCAAGCACCCTGGAGGAGCCTTTTTTATTTAAATATCTGATGTAGAATATGTAGTCAATATTTAGTAGATGAAAGTGAAGTGTGATCATCTGTAGAATATGTAGTCAATATTTAGTAGATGAAAGTGAAGTGTGATCATCACAGTAAATTTTCCAATTTAAGCAACTGGAAAGAAGAAGCCTGAAAAAAATCAGGGCTTCAACGGGATTCAAACCCGTAACCTCCGCGATACCGGTGCGATGCTCTACCAACTGAGCTATGAAGCCACACATTGACCTCGCTCCCAATGTGTGGCTTCATAGCTCAGTTGGTAGAGCATCGCACCGGTATCGCGGAGGTCACGGGTTCGAATCCCGTTGAAGC